ATACTCAGTAAGAAAATTAAAGCCTGGCGTGGCCACGTGTGGTTTTGCTGCCAATCACGAGCGATTTCATTTGTTTGAGAATAGTGGTTTCAGCCAATACTGAGAAGGTTATTCAAGCCAGACCTGGCCAGCCGCGCGGGTTTGCTGCATTCATATGCTAATTAGGGCCATTAGTACAGCTGATCGCTCTCCACCTACGTCACTGTCCGTTTCCGACAATTTGTGGCACGACAAACGCGGACAAGCACGGGTTGCAAATTGTCGGAAACTGACGAAAATCAGGCAGATCTGCGGGAGTTTACGGGGGTTTACGGGGACGAAAATCTCACTTTTCATGCAGTGATACATGCTCCCAATTGGTAGAATTATTAGACAGCATGGGATTAATTTCCACTGTTATGCTGATGATACCCAGCTATATCTGTCTATAAATCCAGATGAAGCTAACCCATTACATAGATTAAAGCATGTCTTGAAGACATAAAAACCTGGATGACTCTTAATTTTCTGCTTCTGAATGCAGACAAAACAGAAGTTATAGTCTTTGGACCAGAGTCTCTGAAAAAGAAACTGATTAGCCAGTCACTTCATTTGGATGGGATTAAACTGATTTCAGATAATAAAGTAAAAAATCTTGGTGTTATTTTTGATCAGGACCTGTCATTTAAATCCCATATCAAAGAGGTTTCTAGAATTTCCTTCTTTCATCTGAGGAACATTGCAAAAATTAGAAATATCCTGTCCAGGGGTGATGCTGAGAAACTAGTCCATGCATTTGTTACTTCAAGGCTGGACTATTGTAATTCTTTACTATTAGGAAGTCCACAAACTGTAGTTAAAAGCCTTCAGCTGATCCAAAATGCTGCAGCCAGAGTTCTAATGAAAATTAAAAAGAGAGATCATATCTCTCCTATCCTGGCTTCTCTTCATTGGCTTCCTGTTAAATCAAGAATAGAATTTAAAATCCTCCTTCTCACATATAAAGCCTTAAATGGCCAAGCTCCATCTTATATCAGAGATCTGATTGTTCCTTATGTTCCTAACAGAGCACTTCGCTCTCAATCTGCAGGTTTACTAGTGGTTCCTAGAATTTCTAAAAGTAGAATGGGAGGCAGATCTTTTAGTTATCAGGCTCCTCTCCTGTGGAACCAACTACCAGTTTTAGTCAGTGAGGCAGACACCCTGTCTACTTTTAAGGCTAGGCTTAAAACTTTCCTTTTTGATAAAGCTTATAGTTAGAGTGGCTCAGGTTATCCTGATCTATCTCTATAGTTATGCTGCTATAGGCTTAGACTTTTGGAGGACATAGGGACCCCCATTTCATCATTCTGCTTCATTCTCTCTCTGTTCTCCTATTCTGCAGAATCTGTTAGTTCAATCTCTAACCTTCTGCTCTCTCTGCTTTTCCTCAGAGTAGCTTTGCCTCGTCTGTTCCTGTTTGGCTGTGACGTCATCCTGGAAAAAAACATCAGCTGTGCTGCTTCTATCAACACCCTTGTTAATAGATGTTGGAGATCGGCCTGTTTTCCAGTGTGGTCCTGTTTCTCTGACCGTGACTGAGTGGATGTGCTCTCTTCGTCCTCTGGCATGGGAGCTGGCTCGGAGCTCGTCTGCCTGGCTGTGTGTTTCCTGGACGGGGCCGCCTTTTACAGCTGCTTTTTGTATCTCTGCTTCTGTCTCCTTGAACCCCAGTCGGCCTCGGCAGATGGCCGCTCACACTGAGCCTGGTTCTGCTGGAGGTTTCTTCCTGTTAAAAGGGAGTTTTTCCTCTCCACTGTCGCTACAAGCATGCTTAGTGTGGGGGATTGTATTTGAGTCAATGAGTCAATGCAATCAACTGGTTTTCCTTAGATAGAAAACTTTGTATCAATTTGACTGTATGATCTGGTTGAACTGTAAAGTGCCTTGAGATGACATGTGTTGTGAATTTGGCGCTATATAAATAAACTGAATTGAATTGACTTTCTAGATGAAGATACACAGAACGGATAAAATCACTGATGTGGTAGTTTCTATCAAGGATGACGCCCAGACCCCTGGCCTGAGGATAGGGAGAGGCAGTGAAACCAGTCAACTCAATTAAAGAAAGTGTCAGCCTTGGACAAACTGATTTGGTTTCTACCAGGAGGTGTTTTGCTGCAATTTAGCTTCAGCAAGTTAGAAGTGAACCAGGATGTAATTTCAGCAAGGCAGGAGGTGAAGTATGAGGTAGGGAGATTGGAGTTTGGCTTATTAGACTTAATAGACAGATAAATGCAGCTGGGTGTCATCCGCATAACAAGGAAAATGAATCTTACATTAAAACATTTTTTTTTTTTTACCAAGGGGCAGAAGGTAGATGATAAAATGTAGCAGCCCCAGGACAGAGCCCTGAGACACACTGGCTGTGACAGGGGATGGATCAGAGCTGAAGGACTTAATTTGCTTCTTTTTTTATCCCTTCTTACGTAACTATTATAGACATATTAGTTTACTTGTTCCCTATTAGATACTATGTGCAGGAAGGAACAACTTACTGAACCATCATCATTTAAGTTCTAATCAAACTGTTGTAAGAATTTAATCATCTATGAACATAACATTGTTAATATTGTATGCTTGATTGGAATTCTAATAACTTTAATGGACTTTTTTTAAACCATCCAAGATTAAGTTGAATTGTGTACAAAGTGCAAAGCTTTTCTGTTACATAAATAACTGGGAGCAAAGCTTGTCCAAATAGCTGGGGCTCCTAATTATCACTCTGAATAGCAGAGTGCATAGTGACTGCATTTACATGGTGAAAGTGCTCTTCTCAGGAAGGAGCACACTAATAGACCAAAGCTGCTTTGATGAGATCAAAGGGGACTTATTTAAAAGTTAATTTAATGTTTCAAAATATTTTCTGTCAAGGGTTTGGATATTAGCTACATCAGAAAAATCCCTAACAAAAGCAGTAGATGTCACTGAAAATTACACACTGTAGCTTTAATTAAAATATATATTGCAGAGAAATGTAGTAACTTCATTCACCAGTAATTAACCACACATAACAAAAACAGTATAAAGTATAAAGTATCACCACTCTTACTAAACCAAGGAAGCAATTAGCCCCAGTTATGTTTAAGAGAGATTTCAATGGTTTAATCTTATTTCACATTTGCTTTTATTCAGAAGACAAGTAAAAATACAGTTAACAGTTTTCTAAATCATTTTACCAGAAATAACTTACCCTATTCTAACCTAAATACTACACTGTAAGTCTGATTTCATGTTTTGTCACAAAAAGATATTCATATTTGTATTATGTAATCACTGTATGCTATACGCTTTTCTTTATCAAATTCTTGGAAACACCAGAATTTACATACAGCTTCGTATGATGTGTAACCATACTTCATTTTTTAAAATTTGATCCAGATATTATTATGAATAGTGAGTGGATCCTTTTTACCAAATACTTGATTGTTCTTATTGAGAAGTTTCTTTGGCTACTATTCAGTATTATTTTAGTGAACATATAATTAAGTAGTGCTACTCCAACCCAAGTTCAATTTTTGGGTGTTCTGCCCAACTCTGAATACAGCGGGGGGAAACCCTGAGTGTAAATTGTCTTGACAGAAAGCTAAAAGTTCATCTTCAACAGTTTAACATAAATTAAAACATGGAGGTGGCAGCATCATGCAGTCAACATGTTTTTTTTTTTTTTTTTAGCAGAGACAGAGAAGCTGATCATTGAGACTGCGGTAGATTTAAACTGGTAACCATAAACCCTTTTCCAGAGGTATAATGGGATGGTTTAGATCAGAGCATAGAAGTTAGAATGGCCATGCGAAAACTCCAGATCTAAATCCAAATGAGAATTTCTTGTGTTTGCAGTTGATCTTCTGAGTAGAATCTGACAAAACATTCTGCCCTAGATCAGAAAAACTAGAAAAAGGTAACATAACTCCAACAGCTACATTTGCAGAGAAGAGTTGATCAATTAAGTATAGCCTAATGAAAGGTGAATACAAAACTATGGAAAAATGTTCACGTTTGTAAATATTGAAGACCATGTACCCTCTTTCCTTCCACTTTCATATTGTGCATTAGTTTTTGATGGAGTTGTTTATCCTGCAACTCTAGAGGGTTGCTAGACCTACTGATGGCTATCAGAAGGCACGTGTTAGGATATGTGTTAATGACCCAATGTAGTGTAAAGCACTTGGACTTGATAAAGTGCTATAATTTGTTATGTAAAATAACATTGGAATGAACTGGACTCTCCTATTCTGCAGAATCTGTTAGTTCAATCTCTAACCTTCTGCTCTCTCTGCTTTTCCTCAGAGTAGCTTTGCCTCGTCTGTTCCTGTTTGGCTGTGACGTCATCCTGGAAAAAAACATCAGCTGTGCTGCTTCTATCAACACCCTTGTTAATAGATGTTGGAGATCGGCCTGTTTTCCAGTGTGGTCCTGTTTCTCTGACCGTGACTGAGTGGATGTGCTCTCTTCGTCCTCTGGCATGGGAGCTGCCTTGGAGCTCGTCTGCCTGGCTGTGTGTTTCCTGGACGGGGCCGCCTTTTACAGCTGCTTTTTGTATCTCTGCTTCTGTCTCCTTGAACCCCAGTCAGCCTTGGCAGATGGCCGCTCACACTGAGCCTGGTTCTGCTGGAGGTTTCTTCCTGTTAAAAGGGAGTTTTTCCTCTCCACTGTCGCTACAAGCATGCTTAGTGTGGGGGATTGTATTTGAGTCAATGAGTCAATGCAATCAACTGGTTTTCCTTAGATAGAAAACTTTGTATCAATTTGACTGTATGATCTGGTTGAACTGTAAAGTGCCTTGAGATGACATGTGTTGTGAATTTGGCGCTATATAAATAAACTGAATTGAATTGAATGGAAAAGAATAAACATGGTGAAAAAGGTTTTTTCTATTGGCTGTTGGTAATATCAATATACGGAATTTCCCTTTGGGATTAATAAAGTATTATTGAACTGATTTAAGTCCAATAGGGGTATAAACCAGGACATGACACAAATGCAATTTTAAAAACAGAACAGCTTTAATGAATAAACACAAATCTTTATTGTCTGGATCTATTCCCTTTTCACTCCTCGCCCATGGCCGTCTTGATTATATCCGCTCGTATCCGTTTGGCTGCTTCTTCAAACTTGGCCATGGCCTCATTCCCGACTTTGTTCTGTGAAGAAAAGAAGTGTGAAACAGTTCAAGCTGAGCTATGTGGTAACTTTTAGCAGCAATAATTCATTAGGGTTGAAATAAAAATGAACATACAATGATCAATTTTAGCCTCTCCTTGTCGAGTTTGTTGAATTCTTCCACAGTCAGCTCTTCTACAGTTTTCTTCAGAGCAATAAAGTTGCAGGATGGTGAATGAGATTTGTGTTCCTCCCTGATAAAAACAAAACAGCCTCAGTAATCACAGACATTTGCAAACCTTCAGCCACTAAAAATGAGAAAGTCGTTTTATGTGTCATTATATAGAACTCAAACCATCTATCTTCTGTCCCGCTGATCAGAAGCGGGCTCGCGGGGGGTGCTGGGCTCATCTCCAGCTGTCTACAGGTGAGAGGTCTGGACAGGTCGCCAGTCCATCACAGAGATAAACAGGACAAAAGGCACACACTCACACCTAAGGAGGATTTTTAGAGAAACCGATTAACCTAACAGTCATGTTTTTAGACTGTGGGAGGAAGCCGGAGTACCCCGAGAAAACCCACTCATGCTCAGGGAGAACATGCAAACTCCATGCAAAAGACCGGGAATCGAACCCAGAACCTTTTGATGCACCTCTGAGCAGCCCTACAACTCAAACCATGTTCTTTTCAAATAAAATGTCTTCAAGGAAGAAAATGTGATGATAAGGGTTCCAACCTAATCAGATCTTACTCAGCATTTAATAAATAGCCTGCCAGCCAGACTGACTCACATGAAGTCAGTCTGCTAAGGGAGAGCCTCTCCAAACTTAAACCAACCAGATCAATCACACTGTGGGCGGCAGCCCAACAACAACAAGGCAACAGAGCTTTTCTTTAACCATTAAGGTCAAGATTGCGGCTACAAAGGAGTGATGTTTTAATGATGCCCTTTATCATGTCCCAATGAGCTAAAAATATCTTTACTCCGGCTTTCTTCCACAGTCCAAAAACATGACTGTTACGTTAATTGGCTTCTCTAATTTCTCCATAGGTGTGTGTGAGTGTGTGAATGGTTGTTTCTCCTGCTCGTCTCTGTGTTGCCCTGTGAAAGACTGGCGACCTGTCCAGCCTGGACCCTGCCTCTCGCCCATTGACAGCTGGATTTAGGCACCATCACCTCACACGACCCCTGCTGGGATAAGTGCGACGGAAAATGGCATGCAATAGCATCACATCCATGGTTCTAAATCATTCCTGATGACTCTGTTAGTCCCACCTTTTAAATCGATCTCTATCCTCTCCTTGCTGTTTAACCTGGCCAGTAAATGACGCTCTATTTCTATTTCTAAATGCCACCCTTTTAGAGACGAACTGAAGCCATTGTTAACTTAAGGCACAGCCTTATAAAAATTGTCTTTTAATTTACAGTGCAGAGAAAAAACATTTGAAAAACTGAAGAACCAAGACAATTAAGCCTAAAACATTCAGCTAAAACTGTGAGGAGATTGATCTGATTTTACCATGAGGTGACGGGAGAACAAAGGTTTATATTTCAGTTGTTCAAAATGTGAAAAGTAATGATCTTGTTTAGGTTTAATGAGATTTAGGCTTTTATATTTTTGGGAAAGAGGATACACTAAGAATCCAGATGTGTTTTCATAACCTTTTTCCCTCTTCTCATCATACGTTAACTTAGAAAACACTAAAAGCAAATTCCAAAAAGGTTTAAAAACAATCCACTGGACTTTGTTTCCAAGTCTGAAGACATGTTGCTTCCCATCCAGGAAGCTTTTATTTTAAAAAATTCAGAAAATAAAAGCAAACTCACTCATTTTTAAAGTTGTTCCACAGTGATAGGGCTGAAACAATTAATCGGATTAATCTTGATGAATCAATTATTAAAAAAAATAGTCAACTAATTTAGTAATGCAACAATCGTTAACTGGAGTATAGAGACTCTAAAATATGCCTTAAGCAGACAGAGCAAACTACTTAGAGCAGTAATTATATAAAAATCTTAAAAAATATATAAACATTTTGCATCTAAGATAAAAAACTTTCTCATCTGTCAAGAACTCCTCAAGTTGAAACGTTTTAGTTTCACCTGCATTAATTTAGTAAAAAATCTTTAAGGAACCTTGGCTGTCCAATTATTAATCGAAAAAAATAATAGACGGATTAAACTATTTGCAAAATAATCATTAGTTGCAGCCCGATATAGTGATAATTAAAGAAATATGACTTATTGTAAAGAAGAGGGTGAAAGAAGCTCCTCTGGTTCGACTCTGTGGACCTTGGTCTACGCATGATGCCATTTCTTTCCACTGTTTTTTAACCTCTGAAGGCTTCACAGCATAATTATACTAGGATATAGGATTAAACTAACATTAGATTACACACAGACATATAACTTATCAACTACATGACTTCTGAAAGCAATTTGGTGCACAGGATTTTATTTAGGGGTATCAACATAAAGGGAGCTGATTACAGCCTTTTATGAGTCTTATTTGTCAAAGAAATTTCCTTTCCCTTTAGAATGATTATTTACCTTTACCTGGTATGTTAGAAACAATTTAAATACAAACTCAGCTTTATGTGAATGCTTTGGAATACACTGTACACATGTTTTATTTTTAAACACTAACTTCACTAAATGTATTTTGCAATATTTCTGGCATTAAATCAGCCCGGCTTCTTACGTTACACCGATCAAAATCCCCAAATAAATGTACTTCAACTTTTATTAATCTTTTGGATGCATGCATATTATGTACTTTTCTGAACCCAAAGCCCAGTTAAATGAAGTTCTTACACCGGGTCATCCTCTGGCTCCCAGCCTTCCAGCTCCTTGAGGCAGAAGAAACACATGGCAGTGTCTGGACTGTTCTCCCCAGGGGTGTGGATGAAGCCAGCTCTGGCCATCTAGAGGCAAAAAGAAAGCAAAAAAATAAATAAATAAAAAAAGGCATGCACAGTTGAAATTTGAACAAGTTGGTGATCTTTTAAAATCTTCCATTTGTTTAATTTCCTAAAGATTGGAATCTAATCTCTATGGACTGTAACCTCCACCCAATTCAACTCAGTTTATCTATATAGCTCCAGTTCAAAGCCCACTAAATCTACGGGACTTTAGAGGTACAGTTCAGCCAGGTCATACAGTCAAACTGATTCAGTTTCCTATCTAAGGAAAACCAGCTGATTGCATCGATTCATTGACTCTTCAGCAATCCTTCACACTAAGCATGCTTGTAGCGACAGTGGAGAAGAAAACTCCCTTTGAACAGAGAGAAACCTCCAGCAGAACCAGGCTCAGTGTGAGCGGCCATCTGCTGAGGCCCACTGGGGTTCAAAGAGACAGAAGCAGACTCACATAATAAAGGCAGGAATAATTCAGAACCATGACCAACTAGTATCAATAATAAAAAAAAAAAAGATATGATTTCAAAAAAGCAAAGAAAGTACTTTCTGTGTAAATATAAAAGGTAACCATTTTTTATTGGGTTTCATCCATATCCTAGTAAACAGTGAGTAAATAACTAAGGTAAGGTAAAGTTAACCATAAAAATACTTTTCGATTAATAAAAAAAAAAAAAAAAAAAAAAAAAAGACCATTCTCACAAGCATGAAGAAACTATTCTAACTACTTTAATAATATTTTGCTCCGGGACAATGTTTTATTCTCAGTCACCAGTGAAAATGTGTCTATATAATTTTTTTAAAACATACAATGACAAAGAACTGTACAAAAGAATGTAATAAAAATGTTCTAATACAATTTAACAAAAGCCATTTTTTAAACATGAGTATTTAGCTGCTTTTGTGAAAGCGCAACAGAGTTTACATATTTTTAAGCTGGGAGATGGCGTTTTAAAAAATGCCATGAAGTTTTTTTCTTCTCCAAGACACAGCCTATAGGTTCTGTTAGAACCAGATTCTTGAATACAAACTGGAACAAATATATAACACTCTGCAGTACAGCCAGCTGATGAAGCCCAGAAAGAAAGTATGTAACGTCATAAAACATACTTATCTGTAAGTTAGAGAAAGGTGGTGGAACTAACTCAAACTGTATTCACTTTTTTTTTTACTAACATGTAATAGTGCTAATATTTGTTACCTTGATTTGCTAAAAAAGCAAAGTTAGGTATGCGAACACAGGTCCTGCTTTGTACAATCAGCTTAAAAACAGCTGGAATCCCTCCTTTCCCCAAACAGACTCAATGGGAGCATTCCCAGACTAATAATGTTTAGAATTACACCTGAGTGCCGCATATTCTCAGTCTGCTTTGCAGTTTTGCAAAAAAAATATGCAGCAAACTAGATTTTATAATTGCTAAGGTGGTATAATATTCAAAATTGATCAATTTTATATCTTTCCAACTTTTTATGTGCAATAATAGCAGCGTAACAAATTGTTATGATATATTTAAACATTTTAACCTGGAATTGCAGAAGATTTCTTAGCATAAAAGATCATTTACCCAACAGAAAAAAAATCATGTTTGAGCACCTTTACAAGAAATGGCTCCTCTTTAATTCCAGTAAAGAATCAGGAGCAGTTCTCTTAGATATTTGACATTCCATCCATAATTTAGGAATAGCAGAACACAATGAAACCAGGTATTTGAGTCTGTCATGTGCAACGTCGTCTGGTAAATATTGACGACATTAAAGTGTAAAAAAGCAACCATATTGGACTAGTAAGGGAAAAACTCCTTTATTCTCTATTTAAATCCAGGATATTTCCCCTGCTTGTTTTTTTTTTTAGAAACTAAAACCCTTACTTTGTACTTACAACAAACGTTAATAAGCCACGTATAATACTTTTAACAGAAGAAATCATACGTGGATTGTCCAACGCCTGTTTGTATTTCTGCGTTAAAATGTCTTAAGTTTATTAAGATGGTACTTACAAAACTATTGAAAACCAACAAGCAATAAGGGCTACTGTGTGAAGTATTTCAATAATATATATTTTGAAATGTATTTAGCTGTTATGACGTTCGGCTCTTCATTGTTTTTAACATTTACTCACGTTCTCGGGGGTGCACGCGCAGTCTTTGTCAAACGGCCATCCTTCAAAGGTTTTAAGTCTGTTTTCGAAAAAATACATCTTGAAATTCATTTTGTTGAAAATCTCCATCGCGTCAAACGATTAAAAATCAAATGTATTTCAATCAAAACAGTGTTAGCTAAGATCTACTAAGCTAAAGGGAGTTTTCAAATTTCGGCGGATGTTGGCCTCGGCTGTTTTGATTGGATCTCGCCGCTTCTTCTTCTTCTTCGTCTCTATTATGGCGGATCGCAAGCACGTTTAAGATGCATACCGCCACCTAATGTACACGTGTATAGCAACATTAGTTCACGTCTATCAAATTCTATTATTTTAATGTTGTATTCTGAAGATTAATAAGTAATGCTTTCCTTAATCTGTAAACATCCTTTATATTTCCTAAATTTTCCAATATTTCTTTTAGACTCCATTCTTAGCCTGTCCTTCCAAGCATTCTCCTTAATTTCTCCATTTCATGTTCATATGTTTTACAGTTCATCAATACGTGTTCTACATTCTCTTTCTCTCCACATCCTTCACATTTATCATTATTTTCCATCCCTGTTAAATATAAATTGTCATTTAAATAGGTATGAACCACTCTTAAACTTGTCATTTTACTTCTTTATTTCTGTTTCTCTCATTAACAGTTGTATTTAATACAGATTTTTGTAGTTGATATAATCTAATTACTTTCTTATTTTCATTCCACCATTTTCTCATTTTCCCATTTCTTTACACTTAATAAGTGATTTCCCTTTCCCAAAAGGAATTGTAATGGTTATTGCCCCCTCTAAACCCCTTGTCATTGCCTTCCTACTACCTTCATGTGCCGGTACCCAACACAACCAAGTATAATCTAAATAGAGTGTGTTGAATTTCTAATACTAATACTAAATTATCTTCCATTCCCTAAATACTTTTAAAACTGCTTTGGAATCTGTATTTAGCACCACCCTGTCTGGTTTTATCTGATCTACCCACTGTAAGCTTAGTATAGAAGCCGCCATCTCTTTGAAAACAGATAATTGATCTGATATTCTTTTAGAAATGTTTATTTTAAACTTTGGTATATATATTCCTATTCCCACACATCATTTTCAAATTCTTAGAACCATTTGAATATATTTAAGGTATTTATAAAATGAGTTTTCCAGATACACATCAGTCTTTATCCCTATTTCATTTAAATTCTAATAATCTTTCATTTTAAGCGGTCTCATGACTACATTTACCTCAGGGAATAGCCATGGAGCAATGACCCTAATCGGATTACACTGAGCAATTTTCTTATCTTCTAATTCATACTCTTTAATCAGTTTGCTTACAATCTATCCAAATCCATTACTCTGGACCTTTGAACATTCCTAACAGTTAAGAAGTGTTAAAGTGTTGAAGTTACATTTTTTTCTTCCTTACTACTTTTAACTTTCATCCAATACTCACTTTTATGATTTTTATTTGCTATTCAACTTATACATCCTCCCATCTATTCCCATCTCATTAATTTTTACAAGTAGTTCTTGGCTCCATGATGAATAATATGTTTTTTCTATATAAAAAAATACTACCATCATTATCTCCTTCATTTTTAAAGCTTTCTCTGTATCATTATAGAACAAAACCTAATCTACTGACTATTATGTTTCCATCCATTTACTTAAATGAGAAGTTAAATCTATTGGTCTTTAATTATTTGAACTAATAGGACATTACCATGGTTAATTAAAAGGTTGCCCTTTTCCAGCTATTGGTATTAAACCTTCTTTCCATATTTAATTTTTAAAAAATTTATATTAATATCAAAGTTTTATTTATTTTTTTTAAACACATTTTAATCTGTCTATGGCCCTTCAGACAGTCCCTGATCTATGGAAACAATCCACAATAGTTCCCATAGCGAAAAATAATCACCTAAGACCCTGAATGAATCAGGCCCATAGCCCTCACCTCTCTTGTAAAGAAGTCTTTTAAAAAAGCTGGTCAAAAAGAACATTATTTTAAGAACTAATCACCAACTTGGGGTCCGGGATGCAACCATAAGCTGTTGAATCTCATTCTCAAACATCTTGAGGGCCCAAAATCCATGTCAGGACAATGTTTGTGGACTTCCCCTCAGCATTTACACTATCCAACCCCACCTACTGGTGCAAAAGCTCCTACACCGCTTCCAACTGGATTCCAGCGTCTCCGGCTGGATACTGGATTTCCTCACCAACCAATACCAGCAAGTGAGAGTAAACGACCATCATTCTGGACTGTCTTTTACATCTACAGGCTCTCCTCAAGGTTGCGTTTTATCTCCACTTTTTTACATCCTTTACAAAAACATGACTGAAATGTATGAAGACCAGCTAATCAGGAAGGCTGAGTTCATCTTGGATAATTATACCCATCCCCTACATAACGAATTCCAGTTTCTACCCTCTGGTTCCTGTTTTAAATATCCACCAGCTCGGACCAACAGATACAAACACTCCTTTATTCCCTCTGCTGTTCAGCTGCTAAACTCTACTAGGAAAAGCAGATAGTCATACGTTGCATGCATATAGACCTATGCTCTCATTCATCCCTGCACGGCACATTTTTTTCTCTCTCTCTTTTATCCACCTTACTTTTATCTTTTTAAAATATTTTATGTGTTTCTTTTATTTTTTATTTGTGAAATGTGAACATGTTTGTGAAAGGTGTACTACTGCAACACAAAAATTGTCCATACTGGCACAAATAAAAGCTACTGAACTGAAGTTACTTCCAGAATCTGTTGAAACATAGCATAGCATAATTCATCCTCCCCTGGAGCTGAATATTCTGTCCCTTTCAAAGCTGTTTTAATTTCTTTTTTGGTTATATTTACGTCTAATGTTGATGTTGATATACATTTTTGACATTTTTCTAACATTTTTCAATCTTCTGCCGTCTATAAATATCTTTAAGATCTTCGACTATGAACTGCAGCAAATGTCTCATCTGTTAAATCTGCCTTATCTTTATTTAATTTATCTCCTGACTTCTAACTAAGGCTGGTATATTAACATCATTCCTTTTCTCCATCATTAAGCTAAACATTGACCAAACATTCTGTAATTTCATTTTTCAACCTATTGAGGAACAATATTCTCTTCATGTTTTCTTTTTTGCTTCTTTAGAAGTTTTATGATCCTTTGCTCTTTTCCTTTTATATTTCGGTAATATATTAAATGCCTTGTTACGTTCTTTAACTGCTCGACTAAATTCATTATTCCACCAAGGAAGTGTTTTTTTTACTACCTTTTATTTTTATTTTTGATATGCTAGATTTGCAGCATTAAAAATATGTTCTGTTATCTGACTTGTACGTTCTTCAATTTTGCCTTTTAATTTCCTCACAATTCCTTTTAAATTTTAGCCTATTACCTTTATTAAAGCTCTACTTTGTTAATATAAAATCTTCTTGGCTGTTTATATTGTCATTAATTATTGTACTCCCTGTAAAGTGACCCCTCCCTAATGTAGACTCCCAGTAGACATCCTATTCGCATGAACTAACAAGACAATCAGTTGTTAATGTAATATCAAGACATGAATCTGTGTTTTTATGTATATTTACTCTTGTACCTTTTCCATCATTAAGACAAACTAATGACCTTTCATTGTTTATTTCTTCACCTGTTGCCATTATGATCTCTCTTCCTGCTACCACAAAGAATATTGTGGGCATTGAAATCTCAACACCATAATTCTCTTCAATGTTGTTTCCCTGCTATTTTCTTAAAACTTTCAGTTTCAAGATTTTTATATGGATTATAATAATTGATCATTTAACTTTTTCCATATTTTCTTCCATTCAATATTTGTAGAATAACACATTCTAATTCTTTATTCATTGAGTTTTTCTTATAACCTATTCCCTCTTCTGTCTACTTTTAAGGCTAGGCTTAAAACTTTCCTTTTTGATAAAGCTTCTAGTTAGAGTGGCTCAGGTTATCCTGAGCTATCTCTATGGTTATGCTGCTATAGGCTTAGACTGCTGGAGGACATAGGGACCCCTTTTTCATCATTCTGCTTCATTCTATCTCTATTCTCCCACTCTGCAGAATCTGTTAATTCAATCTCTAACTTTCTGCTCTCTCTGCTTTTTCTCATAGTAGCTTCATCTGGTCTGTTCCTGTTTGGCTGTGACTCCATCCTGGAGAGAAATATCAGCTGTGCTGCCGCCATCAACACCTTTTTTTATATATGCTGGAGATCGGCCTGTTTTTCAGTGTAGTCCTGTTTCTCTGACTGTGATTAACTGGATGTGCTCTCTTCATCTTCTGCCTGGCTGTGTGTTTCTGGACCGGACCGCCTTTTACAGCTGCTTTTTGTATCTCTGCTTCTGTCTTCTTGAACCCCAGTCGGCCTCAGCAGATGGCCGCTCACACTGAGTCTGCTGGAGGTTTCTTCCTGTTAGAAGGGATTTTTTCCTCTCCACTGTTGCTACAAGCATGCTTTAGTGTGAGGGATTGTATTTGGGTCAATGAGTCGATTCAATTAACTGGTTTTCCTTAGACAGAAAACTTTGAATCAATCTGACTGTATGATCTGATGAACTGTAAAGTGCCTTGGGATGACATGTGTTGTGAATTGGCACTATAGAAATAAACTGAATTGAATTAAAGTGGCACATCCTCCTCCACTGCTATTACTTCTATCCTGTCTTTCTATGCTATATCCAGGAATCTTAAAATCTAGGTTAGGTTTTAACCATGTTTCTTAAACACATATTATATCTGGTATTATTTCTAATTCATAAACACACTTGTTCAATTCTTGTCCAGTGGCTATTGAACTCCTGGCATTCTACTGAAGAAATGTAGAACCGTTATTACAGCTTGGACTCTAATTCTGAGCATTTTCTGTTGTTTCTGTGGCACTCAAAATGGTATGAATCTGATCTGCTTGGATTTTCCTTCATACATGAAAACCCTCCAGCTGCTGCTACAATTGCTTTTATCACTTTTTCTTGTTCATTTGTACTTTCACATAACAATATCGCACATAAATGCTACCAAGTTTTCTTTTTTTCACCACCATTGTATTTCCTTCCACTCTAAATTTCTGCAAATATGCATTTTGAATATTTGTAGTTGGTACCAAGATTTTTCTCTGATAATTAAGCCCTTGCTTTTTATTCCAAGTTGTGTTTCTTTGACTTCTCTCTCCCAACCCCATTTCTCTTGTACTATATTTCCTTACTGTTTTAAGAGCTTCAGCGTGTGAAACTCTTTATGTTATATTGACTCTCTGAGCTTCTCTGGCTTCGCTTTGTACTTCACATCTACGATATGCTGTGCTGTGTTCTCCTCTGTAGTTACATTTGACTTAAGCATCTTTATCACATTTTCCAAATTCATATGGACCTCCACATCTTGCACACCGAACCTTTCCTTTAAATTCCTTTGTAATGCGGCGCATTCTCTGACAAGTAAAACGTCTCAGCAGTTCAGGGATGTAATCTCTACTGTGTAGTTCATGTATCCCGGCTGGATATTGTAGCATCACTACCATAGTATCTTTAAGTTCCCCATCTCTTTTACTTTTAATCCGAATGGCTTCTGTTATTTTCCCTCCTTTGATTTATTTTTTCACATCCTCGATTGTCATTTCAATTGGAACTCCATAAATTGCTCCTTTAAGCATTGCTAAAGATCCTGGGATATATGTCTTAATTCTTTCCCCCAACAGGGTTTTTGATTTAGATTATCTTCTGTTGTTGTGATTCACTGACACCATGTATTACTGTAGTACTCTTCTGTTATTCATGATTCTAGGCATTTTGATTTTCCCTATTTCTCCCTCTATTGCTTTGGTCAATTTTGTTGGATGAATGTATCCCCCCTCTTGCTTGAATTCCACCATGACTTTAAATTTCACTTCTATAAAGTCATCCTGCTCCTGTGTTTGCAGTTCAATGCAGTGAGGAATGCTCTGATCTTTATATTGGAGAAACCAAACAAGCTCTTCACAAGCGCATGGCGCAACACAGAAAAGCGCCCTCCTCGACAAGACTCTGGGGTACATCTACACCTTATGGGGTAGGTGGTTTGAGAGGGGTGTGAAGGAAGCCATCTATGTTAAGAAAGAAAAAAACCTTAAACAGAGGGGATGGACTCAAAAACCAACTCAAAAACCAACAATGCAGCAAATGAGTTGATCCCTTCCCGCTATCGTCGCATCCCCAACCCCTTTACAGGGGAGCAGAAGATCTTGACTATTCAGTCAGGCCAACGATTCCCTTTAACGACACCCCTTTCAGAGACTTAAGGGCTGCTTGTACTGCCGCAGCAGTGTGTCGCAGTGAGCTTGTTGCAGATATGACACAGACATTTTTGATTAATGCTCATTATTGAAGCGTGCAAAAAATGCAGGGATCCAGGTGGAACAAGGTTCCCAGCGTTCTCGCACACCTCGCTTTTCTAGCTGGTCCAACTTTATGAGTCGTTTTCCACAATCACGGTCATACAAGCAAAACAAGCCAGTAAGGTACCACACAGGAGATGCATAGTGTAGATTGGATGTAGATTTGACCAATCAGAGGACTCCTGTCTGAAGCACTGTCTGCACTCACCTACAATTTGGGAAAGGTGCAGCAGTCTGTGGAGGGGGCGGGGATGTCTCTGCGTTTACCGGGACACCTACGCAGACGCCCTAGTTTCGAAGTATAAGTCAGCCTTTAGATGGGTATGGGGCATTGCAGGCTAACAGAAGAAGCCAAACGACCCCCATTCTAAACGGGTGGACCCGTTCGTCCGTTTCAATTTGCATGTTTTCCAAGCAAAAAAGGTTTTGATGGGCTACTGTATAAAACGTCGAACTCAATCCTATTCCTGACATTTTCAATAGAAAAGCTTCCTAGATTGGAAGCGTAACATCTTTTAACTTTTTCTGAAGTCCTTTTGCTAACTTCTGCTCTTGCCTCACTTTCTTCCGAGCAAATTCTTGCCCTTACTTGTCTCTTCCGAAGTGCCCTTTTCCATTATTATGATCTTGATATCATCCATTCCATCTCATTTCCACTATTTTCTCCTGATATAGAAGGCATGTTGCTGCAGCTTATGTGATCCACCAAAGTCAAATCAAATGCTGCCTACATTTGTTTGCTTAAGGCAACATAGGCAAAGATAGACCTTAGTTTTAGTTTAAAAAGTTTAAAAAACATTTTATATTCTCCTTTTACAACACATTAAACCTTCTTTCATGAATTCTAAAATCACTAAAGTCACAAAAATGAAGAAGCTAATGCAATGCTCTTACTTGTTTTAATATTTCCTATTCAACGATTGGATATGGATATAGTTGTTCTTCAATGCCATTGGTTAAAATAAGGAGGCAGGAATAGAGATAGAATGAAGCAGAATGATGAAATGGGGGTCCCTATGTCCTCCAGCAGTCTATGCCTATAGCAGCATAACTATAGAGATAGCTCAGGATAACCTGAGCCACTCTAACTAGAAGCTTTATCAAAAAGGAAAGTTTTAAGCCTAGCCTTAAAGGTAGACACAAACTAAAACTGGTAGTTGGTTCCACAGGAGAGGAGCCTGATAACTGAAAGATCTGCCTCCCATTCTACTTTTAGAAATTCTAGGAACCACACTAGATTGAGAGCGAAGTGCTCTGTTAGAAACATAGGGAACAAACATTTCTCTGATATAATATGGAGCTTGGCCATCCAAAATCCTAATGGGAAAATCAATAGGACCATTGGAAACTGGCAGAGTGACGATAAGTTAAAGATAAATAAAAAATTATGAGGGCAAATATAAAAAGTATTAATTATGTTGGCTTAAGTTAAACAGTTGTTTTTTTTGTTGTTGTTTTTTTCTGAGGGTGAGTCGTTTCCTTGCTTAACTCCATATCAGTTGGTGGCGATAATGCACTTTTCACTAGTTTGCCAACCACCATAAAACCTCACAAGAAGAAGAAGAAGAAGAAGAAGAAGAAGAAGAAGAAGAAGAAATAAAATTCAAAACCTCTGGAGCAGCGTCTCAAAATTGAACATTCATTGATTGTAAAGAAGAAAGATTTTGCTCTTTTCATGGTTGAAGTGATCAATTGTAGTGCACAGATGACAAGAAATATGAAAAAATCGAAGTAATAGTGAAAGCTGCAGAAAAGTATCTTGAAGTGAAAGATTTAAACTGGGAAATGGTTGAAAGCATGATGGAAAACCCAGTAGGCCCATCTGAAACTGGCAGATTGACAATATTTAACATAAATAAACCTCAAACTGCAGACATCCTGGAGGGGAAGCGAAACGTCTTCAGACCTTGGAAACCAATGGTGGATTGTCCAGTGGATTGTTTTTTTTTTTTTTTACTTTTACAGAATGAATTAAGATAAATTAGAAATTATGAGGGGAAATATGATTAAGTATTTATAATGTTGGGTTCAGTGAAACAGTTTTTTCTTTTTCTCTCTCTCTCTTTTTTTTTTGGGGGGGGGGGGGGGGGGGGGGGAGTCATTTCCTGTTTCCTTGCTTTACTCCATATCAGTTGGTGGCGGTAATGCACATTTCACAAGTTTGCCAACCGCCATAAAATCTCATAAGAAGAAGAAGAAGAAGAATTAAGGCGGCTTCTCGAAATTCGTTTCACTGTCAACAACTTATGACCACGTTGATTTTTAAATCTTAAGTGATTTCATGGAGTTTGAAGCTTATCGGTGTCCTGATGTATGTTTCTAGCAGTGATGGAGGGGCGGTGTGCTGCTGAGTGTTGGGCTGATTTCGGTGTGTTATTAAAGCCTGGTACGCCGCTGGTTAAACGCGCTTCTGGGACTAATGTTTTCATCTGCACCGGCAGCGATGAAGTATATGTCTTCTCTACGGAGGAGAAAAAAATCAAGGTAAGCAAGATTGGTTTAAAGTTCTTAACGCATTTCAAAACGCAGGGATGTCATCCAAAGGATGGCATTTATTCATGGGTTCCCAACATCTTTTAAACTTTAAATTCACACAGACCGTATTAAGTCAAGCATGTATTTGCAATAAAATTGATACTGATGTAAATACATTTCCTGGGAGAACGAGAAGACTTTACAAGCCCAATAAAATGTATTTTTACTAACAAAAGTGTCCGCTAACTAGGGCTGATTGTTGGCATGGGTGCTGCGGTCCAGGGGCGTAGCCAGAAAATGTTAATAAGGGTGGCCAGGTAATAACCAATGTACACTGAGGTGGGGGGCCAAAAGCGGATAGGTGGCACAACCTCAGGGTCCATCTACACTGTTCCAACTTGACTTACAGAGACATAATTTTCTCTTTACCCCATAAAGACAAAATCTAGTTCTTAAAAGAGCATGAATTCTGTATTTATCATCTCTAATGTTAGTATATTGATGTACATAATTAACCACAGGGTTTTGGTGAAATAAGTTAAAAGATTCCACTTGAGAGTATCACTGCTGCCACCGTCAGTATTAGAGGGAAAATATGTCAGGGGTGGCAACAGGGGTGGCTAATGATTGGGTAAAGGTTGCCATGACTAGCCCTGTTCTCCCATCTAGCTCCGCCCCTGACGACACCCAATACTCAACCCTACGATATTACCACTATATTGCAATATCACCATACACTCACCGGCCACTTTATTAGGTACACCTGTCCAACTGCTCGTTAACACTTAATTTCTAAGTAGCCAATCACATGGCGGCAACTCAGTGCATTTAGGCATGTAGACATGGTCAAGACAATCTCCCGCAGTTCAAACCGAGCATCAGTATGGGGAAGAAAGGTGATTTGAGTAACTTTGAACGTGGCATGATTGTTGGTGCCAGAAGGGCTGGTCTGAGTATTTCAGAAACTGCTGATCTACTGGGATTTTCACACACAACCATCTCTAGGGTTTACAGAGAATGGTCCGAAAAAGAAAAAACATCCAGTGAGCGGCAGTTCTGTGGGCGGAAATGCCTTGTTGATGCCAGAGGTCAGAGGAGAATGGCCAGACTGGTTGGAGCTGATAGAAGGGCAACAGTGACTCAAATAACCACCCGTTACAACCAAGGTGGGCAGAAGAGCATCTCTGAACGCACAGTACATCGAACTTTGAGGCAGATGGGCTACAGCAGCAGAAGACCACACCGGGTGCCACTCCTTTCAGCTAAGAACAGGAAACTGAGGCTACAATTTGCACAAGCTCATGGAAATTGGACAATAGAAGATTGGAAAAACGTTGCCTGGTCTGATGAGTCTCGATTTCTGCTGCGACATTCGGATGGTAGGGTCAGAATTTGGCGTCTACAACATGAAAGCATGGATCCATCCTGCCTTGTATCAACGGTTCAGGCTGGTGGTGGTGGTGTCATGGTGTGGGGAATATTTTCTTGGCACTCTTTGGGCCCCTTGGTACCAATTGAGCATCGTTGCAACGCCACAGCCTACCTGAGTATTGTTGCTGACCATGTCCCTCCCTTTATGACCACAATGTACCCAACTTCTGATGGCTACTTTCAGCAGGATAATGCGCCATGTCACAAAGCTGGAATCATCTCAGACTGGTTTCTTGAACATGACAATGAGTTCACTGTACTCAAATGGCCTCCACAGTCACCAGATCTCAATCCAATAGAGCATCTTTGGGATGTGGTGGAACGGGAGATTCGCATCATGGATGTGCAGCCGACAAATCTGCAGCAACTGTGTGATGCCATCATGTCCATATGGACCAAACTCCCTGAGGAATGCTTCCAGCACCTTGTTGAATCTATGCCACCAAGAATTGAGGCAGTTCTGAAGGCAAAAGGGGGTCCAACCCGTTACTAGCATGGGGTACTTAATAAAGTGGCCGGTGAGTTTATATTACGATATTTTTCCTGCTATCAAACTTAGATGTATAGTTAAACCTGATATTGATCATTCAGTTATTTTGGTATCCATGTTGTTTGGGGTTCAGGTCTTCCACTGTGACTGCCTCAACTACAGATATAAAGATCCTCTGCACAGCAACACGGCTCCACAGCACTATCTGCCAGACTGGCGGTGCAGAGGTTGACCTTTTCCCCTCAGTTTTAGGAAAAAAATGTTTTGCCTAAAATAATCGATACGAGGAATTAAAAGTTTAATATTATATCAGGCAGCCAAAAATAACAATATATTGCAAAAATGATTTTTTTCACACCCCTACAGCTAACTGAGAAATATGTCTCTTGTCCACACAAAAGTTTTTACACGCAACACTTTATTGGGGCTGATTTTACTGCGGCCCTGCGGGGGTGTTGATGAGGAATGCTGTATGGCCTTCTAGGCAGAATGCTTTAGTGCTATCCATAACAGAAATGTGATGAGTCAGCCTGCTGGAGCTGCATCATTCTTTGAAACTATCTAAAACTGAATTTTGGTAGGCATTATTAAAGCCTAGAGAGCTGAAATTCAAATTTAACTAGTCATATTATTAAATCATATCTGGTTTTCTGGATATCTAGAATGTTAAATTTATAATTCATATCTGACTTGTCATTGTGATGACGAGTAACTGCATTAAAGAGATCTGAAATTTGACTTCATCCTTGTCAGAATTCAGTTTTAGACATCCAGAATGTTTATTTTGGATATCTGGAGGTAAAAGCCCAATACACATGAATGGGAATCATGTTATTTGTACTAGTAAGAATTACATTTAAGCTGTCTGAAATGTTTATTTTAGATGAGAAGAATATTATAAATGTCTGAAATAACAAGGAACAAATGCATTTGAGACATCTGAAATAGATATGCAGTCAAGCTAATATATGTCAACTGGCCTGCCATACTTGTTTGGAGGATAGAGTTTGGTGCTTTTATGGCGCCAAAGTCTCCATTAAGACAGAAAAAAGTCACTAGATTTGGCGCTTTCCTGAAATAAAGACACTTGGAGAGTCTGAAAAGTTGCTAAATTTGGCAACAAAAGTGTTAGGTTGGCAACGCTGGGTGGATGACTGAGTTGACTCCAGAACAATAAGAGCAGCAATGACATGGCACCTCAAGTCTTTTATTTTGATGACATGGACACACAGATTATGCTAAAGTTAGACTTCTTTCTACACACGTGTCATTGTTCTGATGTGATTATCATTTTAGCAATTGCTTCTTGCCTTCCCTTGCATATGATCAAATATTGCCTTGGGGAATTCATTTGGTATGAAGTCTTGGTTGTTTCTTTTCAATCCAGCGAACAGATGCTGCCAAATTCCTCAAACTGTAGCTCCTACCATTGATTGATTCATTGATCTTACTCCTTCATCTTTTGCGGGGACAACAGTAAGAACACACTGCAGGGTAGGAAAGGAACTCCGGAGCCTTACGGATGTCCTTACTGTGGAGGCTGGTGGAGTTTTTTCCAGGGGGGGGCTATAAATTCAAAATAGACGTATACCAAAAACCAATCAAATCCATACTAAGTTATCCCACCATTATATTTATATGTATGCCAACAACAAAATAAAATTATTAAAATACTTTATAAAAACGAATTATCATTTCATGTACAGTTTTACTTTTGTACATAAATTAAATCTTTGCTCTTCTGAGGCTTTGTGAAGGCAAATCTGTGTTTTTCATGCTCCAATATGGTGTCACAAATCTAAAAAAAGAATTACCAGTTTGATAGTGGAGAAGCTTATAGTCAGCTTTATATTTTTTAATATATATAAAAACAATTTTTTCTGAGAATGTGTTTATTTAAGAGCAGCTATGCAAATTAAGAAACATCTAGAAAAAGTACACTGTATTCTATATTTTAGTTTTCCATGTGAATCCCAAATTGTTCTGGTCTTTTCTAAAAAGTGCTTTATAGGAAAAGTCCGATCAGCAAGGAATAATCAATGGATCATTATCTATACCATTAACTAATACGTGGAAGTGAAATCCCTTAAAAAAATTAACAAGAGAAGCTGAAGGTGAAATTGTTTGGACCTGATCAGCCGAACATCAAAATCAATCAGCACTCCAAAGACAGATGGAGAAGGTAGCTACAAGGCTTCGCTAACTGCATGCAGCAAGGCTGAAGCTTTATTCTGCTGCCTGCCTCCAAAGGATAAAGACCTATAGGACTGATTTAAAGTTCGCTCATATTCAGAATTCCAACTTCTGAAAGTTCTTTAAATCTGAAATTATTCCATCCTGTTCAATAAATGATCAGTGTTTTTAATTCAGAGTAATTTTCATGTGAATGTGCTTTACTGGAGGCATCCATGTTTGTCAAAGAACACTACTGCCACCTACTGGTTAGTGACGTCACGGTGCGGTATCGGCTGTTGATCAAGTCCCAGTGCTGTATCTGGTGTTTGTCACAACGCGCTATTATCCAAGTCATCTTGAAAACATTCTTCTTCCAAATGTTTTCAATATATTACGTGTATTTTTATTTATTTATTTTTTCTGGCCAGAAGTTTGATGGCAAATCCTCCCTCTTGAAGTTGGCAATCCAACGACAAAACTGGGGAGGAAAAAGTGTGAAATACCTAACTTTTTTCCACTTTTACCTGATGTATTACAGCATCCAGCTGCCATGCACGTGGGCATTGTGAGCTTAACTGTAGCTCTTGCGAATATTAATGGTGAAGTCCTCTGGAAATCTTCAATAATTGTTGTTGATTGCAGATGTGTCTAGTAGTTCCCATTGATTTAGCTTGTAAAGCGGGGAGAATGGCGCTAGGCTGACTGCACTGTGACGTCACTGCTGGAAGATGGCTGGAATGAGGTGTTACTATACTTGGGTAGAAATGGCGGACGCTAAATTCATTAAATCACAGCAAACATATTCATTTTAGGGATAAATAATGACCCATTGATTATTCCCTGCTGACCGGTCTTTTCCTTTAAACAAGAGGAAGCCCAGCATCCGATGAAATCCATGACTTCAACACTTCAGACACTTTAGCAGCAAATGATGAACCATTTATCTATTTTCTAACTCACTTAATACCAAGTGGGGTCATGAGGGCTGCTGGTTCCTATCTCCAGCTGTCAATGGGTAAGAGGCGGGGTCCACCCTGGATAGTCCATCGCAGGGCGACGCAGAGACAAACAGAACAAACAACCATTCACACGCACACTCACACATAAGGAGGATTTAAAGAAGCCAATTAACCTAACGGTCATGTTTTTGACTGTGGGAGGAAGCCGGAGTACCCGGAGTGAACCCATGCATGCTCAGGGAGAACATGCTAACTCCATGCAGAAAGACCCTGAGCCAGGAATCGAACCCAGAACCTTCTTGATGCAAGGCAGCAGTGCTAAAAATGAATTTTATTTTAGCTAATTCTCAAACAGTTTTCATGGAACCATTAAACTTTAACTGCTTTGAAGTTGTTTCATTTAAAATGTCTGTAGTAAAGTACAGTTACAAATGGAGGAAAAGGTTATCTATATCCACATGTTTACAGATCTATAGTTTATTAGAATTGATTTTGTGTTTAATGTGGTTAATGTTCCATCATAAAGAATAAAAAATTAGACAATCAGATGGTGTTTCCAAGAAAAAGAACCAAAAGGACGGAACATTCTGACACTGTTTCTGGTAGGAGTCTCTAGAGAGTGAAATATTTCTCATTGTAATGTCAAATTCAATTCCAAGACTTCATCAAGACAGTTTGGCTTCAGTCGGTCTGGTCCAGGTTGCATGATTCGTTTTATATTTTTGGTTGCTGTGTTGCAGGCGGTTGTTCGGCTTCCTGCTCCTTTGAGGGATCTGGTTGTCAGCCATGATGAGCAGTTCCTGTTGGTGGCATGCAGTAACGGCATCTACTCTGTCAATCTCCAGCTGCTTTCAGAAAGGTATAAATCCATTCCTCTAATTCAGAAACAAAACTTTTTCTAGATGTGGGTGCTGTTTTGAATTGACTGTCTTTCTTCTGATCTGTTTGGTGCTTAAAGCACATCCTGTGATGCAGGTTCTGGTATCACTGAGCTGGATATCACCTCGGCGTCCCTTATTGCTGTTGCTGAAGGCCTGTCGTCTTTCCTCCTCGTCGGCTCGCTGCTCCTGACCCTTTGCCAAACTGACACTTCCTGGTTGTTGACTTTGTATAAAACCCAACGACAGTCCCAGTCTCACACCTGTGACCTGATTAGCTCCTTCTCCCTGCCTCTTGTCTCACCTTCTGTTCAAAGCCACATGGAGTCAAAATCTGTGCTGATTTGCGTTTATTGTGGCAATGCGACTCCGCTCTCTTATTCTCCTACAGCATCAGATGCAGGTTCATCTTGTCGCCACTTCCTCCTTCAGCCGGTTCTCTTCAAGCTTTTGTTTGGGGTGGAAGCGGCGCTCGCCAAGTCTCCAGTTGTACTTTGCGGCCTGCCAGACGGACGCCTGTGCTTTCTCCCTCTGCGCCTCCCAGGATCCCGGCTGCAGGTCCTCCATAGCCTGGAGCAGCCGGTCGTGTTTATTGGAGCATCTGCTGTCATGGAAACTGATGCGGGTTGCGCTGCAGCCTTGGTAGCTCTGGGCAAACAAGGCAGAGTGTTGCTGATTGAAGCCGGCAGGGCTGGGTCAGGGAGAGAAGGCGGTATCGCCAGTTATTCTAAGGGCTCTATCCTCGGGCCTGTGGAATGCGCCTGTGTGGATAAAAGTTGTCTTTACTACAGCACCGGATCCGACCTTCTTGCTCTGGCTTTGTCAGAGGGTTCTGCTGGGAGGGAAAGGAAAGAGGAGGACGAGGAGGCATCTGGGTCCAGAGATGCTTTTTTCTGCAGACCTGACAGTTTAAATGTGAGCGGAGTCGTTGCTTTGGATCAGCCTACATGCAACGCTGCAGGTAAATATAGGAAACTTCCTTCAGTGTAATGGAAAAGTACCAATGAACCACAGAGTCACTTTTTACTTCTACTCCTTACATTGTTTAGAATTACCTCTACTTTCTACTTACATTTTTAAAACTAGTCTCTTTAGCTTTCTTTCATTTAAGCTCATTTTCTTTATAGCCTCTTGGTATTAAAAACATTACAACCATCAAAATAATCGGTTTTATCCAGACATTTCTTTGTGGTTGGAGTCGGTACTGCACCAACGTTTTGTTAACTACGTACCAAAATAGATGATTTTTCAAGATGATGCAAAGTTAAGTTTGACACTGTTACCATTAGTTCAAGGAAGTTATCGTCCACATTTGTAGAAAAATGTTCTTTCAATAGGGCAGTGCAGTAAATCATCTGTCCTTAACATTTTTTTCCTACAGTACTTTTACTTTTATTCTTTAAAAAGTTTTAAAATTTGTATTTTAACACTTTTACTTGAGTGAAAACCTTAAGTTGAAACTTAAGGTGTTTTTAAACAGTAGAATCTACTGGAGTGATAAACATTAATATTTTTGGCACCTCTTATTTTATATTACAGGCCAACATAAAGTAGTGAATTTTCCCCCCTTAACTCTGATACACCTAAATTAAATCCAGCAGGACCTACTGCTTAGACTTAGACAGATTTATTTTATCATTTTGTACACACAAGTGTAAACAAAAAGAAATTTCGTTTAGAACAGCTCTCTAGACTATTTCCTTTTTTAAAGTGCAGCTTTGAAAAACAGTAAAAAAAATACATAAAAACAGTAATATAAACGTATGACTGTATATTTACAGTTCTAACATCTCAGTTTTTTTAATAATAGTAAAATATAATAAATATAATACAATATAATAAAATAACCCATTTTACAAAACATTCATCAGTCTGATGGCGGTGGGGAAGAAGCTGTTTCTGAATCTGTTGAGTCTGGATTAAATGCTGTGAAGCCTCTTCCCAGAGGGCAGCAGGGAGAACAGTCCATGGTGGGGGGGTGAGGGGTCATTGATGATGTCAGAACGCTCTCTATGGTGCTTCTGGAGAAGGTGGGGAGGATGGGGGGGGGGGGTCAGGTGGGCTCTCCTCATCCTGCGTAAAGAGGATCTCTGTGTAAATGCAGCTGTTCTGTGAAATAGAACGTTAGTCGATTGGTCAAATATCTCTTTGGGCGTTGCTGCGGTGTGGTAATGGAAAGAGAACGGATCACCTAGAAACCTTCATGACATGGCAGTGTTTGTCCATCCTCACTGGGAGGCCAACAGAGAGATGACAAATCAGAGATGCAGCCATTATAGATGCAGGAGCGGCAAGAATCCTCGGCTTATCTCTCTGCTGCACCTTACACTAGTCTGGCCTTTGTTTCACAAGGAGCTGCATTTACGTGAATCCAACTATAGTCATTTCAATTCTGTTTATTTATATAGCGCCAAATTCACAACACATGTCATCTCAAGGCACTTTACAGTTCAACCAGATCATACAGTCAAATTGATACAAAGTTTTCTATCTAAGGAACCCCAGCTGATTGCATCGACTCATTGACTCTTCAGCAATCCCTCACACTAAGCATGCTTGTAGCGACAGTGGAGAGGAAAAACTCCCTTTTAACAGGAAGAAACCTCCAGCAGAACCAGGCTCAGTGTGAGCGGCCATCTGCCGAGGCCGACTGGGGTTCAAGGAGACAGAAGCAGAGATACAAAAAGCAGCTGTAAAAGGCGGCCCCGTCCAGGAAACACACAGCCAGGCAGACGAGCTCCGAGCCAGCTCCCATGCCAGAGGACGAAGAGAGCACATCCACTCAGTCACGGTCAGAGAAACAGGACCACGCTGGAAAACAGGCCGATCTCCAACATCTATAAACAAGGGTGTTGATGGAAGCAGCACAGCTGATGTTTCTTTCCAGGATGACGTCACAGCCAAACAGGAACAGACGAGGCAAAGCTACTCTGAGGAAAAGCAGAGAGAGCAGAAGGTTAGAGATTGAACTAACAGATTCTGCAGAATAGGAGAATAGAGATAGAATGATGAAATGGGGGTCCCTATGTCCTCCAAAAGTCTAAGCCTATAGCAGCATAACTATAGAGATAGCTCAGGATAACCTGAGCCACTCTAACTAGAAGCTTTATCAAAAAGGAAAGTTTTAAGCCTAGCCTTAAAAGTAGACAGGGTGTCTGCCTCACGGACTAAAACTGGTAGTTGGTTCCACAGGAGAGGAGCCTGAGAACTAAAAGATCTGCCTCCCATTCTACTTTTAGAAATTCTAGGAACCACTAGTAAACCTGCAGATTGATATTAATTTCATAGGATTGCCTATTCAAAGTCCACAGCTAAGTCCTGTTGAGAGTCTAAATAAATCTACAAAGAAAGAAGTTCCTAATTCAATCTAAGTGGGCTTGAGTTCTTTTTGTTGCCTGGCCAGCCAGACTGAGTTAGACTGGACATAAGTCAGTCCTGTACAGCTAACTGGACCAATCATACTGCAGGGAGGGTTAGTTTATGCTTGCTCCACTTTCCATATTCCAGCTCATCAGAGCAAAGTTTTAATGACCCCTTTAGTTTGTCCCGATTGAGCTGGATCAATCCATTCAATTCCAACAACTGGCTGTTGTAAAAGCATTTCGTCTTAAAAAAGAAGTATTTTTGTGTCTCACCCGTTATCTGATAGTCCTAACCTGTTTCTCTGGGCTTTGTTAGTCTGACTCTGATCCGCCCTTTGACTCAGGCTCTACTAGTTCCTTTCAGGATTGATTCACCAAGTGTACAGTGTTAGTCTGACTCAGCAGGCTATTCTTTTTGCAAAGAGGATTAGATAAAAAAATAACTAGATAGGCAAAATGGGTCAGTTATATTTATTAGAAATTTCAAAGCCCTTGTACCCTTTCTCTTTTCCTTCCAGTTATGCATCGCCTTGCGTTCCTTTTGTGAACATGTTACACAGCTTGATAAAATGCAGAAAAAAATAATATTCTCAGGCTTTGTACTGTTGGTATACAGCACATTGTATTTTGCATTCCCTGTGTGATGATGACCAGTGGAGGTATTTCTCCTCCTTAGGTGAAGCTCAGCTGCTCAGCTTATCTGTCAGAGGTCAACTGCGGAGGATCAGTGTCCCTATGAAGACACGGGGGGAAGGTTTGTCCACGCTTTGCTCCTCACAGATTGGCCGCAGCGTTGGAGATCTCCTGTCTGCCATCGGTAATGTCTGTGAAAGGTACAGAAACTGAAGGTGATTACTGTTTTAGATTGATGTGCAAAACAGAGAGATATTTAACTGAAGATGGAGTATTTGACCAAAAAAAAAAAAGTAAAAAGTTTGGCTAAATATCCACCTTATGTTTTTAAATGTGTTGCTTCAGTACCTTTTGTGTTTGTGTCTCAATATTCTCAGACCAGATGTGTTTTCATTCTGTTTTCCTTCAGAGCATCTGTGCTGAAAACCTCCATTGGATCTAAAAATCAGATTCTCAAGCAGCTGAATGAAGTGATTAATATAAGCTTCCTGCTGACGGACAGTCCTAACCCAGAGGATAAGCCTATCAGGTGTCGTGGTTTGGTAAGGTGGAGCCGGCTGCTTGACAAAGACTCCCTGGATCTCACGTGTTTCCTGGAGAATTTGAGTCCCTACCTCCTGGAGCGAGGTTGGACTCTGAGCATCCTGCTCCACCCTCTGTCCAGTTTTCCGAAAGCAGGAGAGGGAACCTGCTCTGCAAATTACTCCTTTCCGCTCCACAGTCTGCATCCAGGGGGCTCTTTGAGAGTGTGTGTGCCTCTCATGGCTGCAGGTGATGCATCCTTCCCTGTTACAGTGACCTGCTCGCTCATTTTCTCCCTCCGGAGTTTTCTGGGAGGAAAAGGAGAAACGTCCTTCTCTGGTTTACATAATGGCTGTTTCAGTTTGCCCTTAAATACACTGATGGTGGACTGGCTGCACGCCCTCCGGATGATTGGCCCATCCTCTGCGCAGAGCACATATATATCACCATCCAACAGCAACCAGGCAGATGCCATCCAGGCCTTTATAAGCTCACGGCAGATGGGGTGCAGAGAAGGAGATGGGCCTTCCAGGACAGGGGAGTATTCTGCCACTGTCCGCATGTCATCAGACTTACTAAGACTGCAAAGATCCAAAGACCCAAAGTTGGCCCCTCAGAGGTCCTGTGTCTCTCTGCTTGAGTGGCTGTTGTCTGAAAGTTGTGGTGGAGTGAAGATTGGCCATAAAGAAGAAAAGATGGACAGAATCAGCTCTGTGGTCTGTGGCCGTGCACCAAATGAAGCCCCAATTAAACTCACTGCAAAAGAGGTAAATATTAAACACTAGTACTCCACCGTGCTGCTTCTTGTTTAACTTTTTTCTCCCCCTTCAGGTAAATGTAGAGGAGGAGAGTTCTGGGAAGGAGGTGCCCCCGGTCAGTGCTGAGATTAAGGTTGAGAGCCCATCGGCGGCAGCTGTCTGCGGCCTGCACCACGCCGTGCTGCTTCGCATTCAGGTAAACGCCTTCCTAAACCTACCTGCAACGTTGCAGGTTATTCTCTAATTACTCCTTCCAGGAGACTGCAGAACCAAGATTTCAGGTTTGCCAGATTTATAGAACCTTTTAAAGAAAAAGTCTGGTCACATTCAGAATTCAAACTTGTGAAAGGACTTTAAATATAAGATTATGAAAAATAAACATGGATGTCTCCAGTAAAGCACATTCAAATGAAAGTTACTCTTAATTAAAAACACTCATCATTTATTCAACAGTATGTTTATCAAAGACTACTGCCACCTACCGTTTTGTGACGTCATGGTGCGGTATCGGCTGTTGAGCAAGTCCCAGTGCTGTATCTGGTGTTTGTCACAATTCGCTTTTATCCAAGTCATCTTGAAAACATTCTTCAAACTGATGGCTACATATTAACGTGTGTTTTCTCTGGCTAAACGTTCGATACAATCCTGGAATATCAGTAAATGAGTAAAACTAGCAGCAGTTCAGCGGACAGGATGAATGAATGGTAGCCGGCGAGCGTGGGTGACTTCACACACATGCCGCTTTGTTTTAAAAAGATATAACTATAAAAAAATATAACTCTGGATGTCTGAGGGACAGTGATTCACCTTCATGTTCTGAATGCTGGCGTACCATAAAGAATAAATGATGAACAGTTTAGTTTGTGCCTTCAAGTCGTTGCCCATAGGAAGACATTACTTGGATATAACCTAACGGAATATCTTCAGAACGGCTCCAAATGACACTAAACTCATATGGGTGAGTAGAACATGATGTAATAACGTAAAATCAAGGAACCAATGTAAAAAACAAACAAACAAAAAAACGGCGTTCCCCTTTAAGAAAACAATAATTTATTTAGATTTCCATTTCTTCCATGTCTTGGCTCTGATTTGAAGGCCTGCTGTGTTCCTGCCTCCATTTCATCTCTAATGTTCTCTAACGAACCTCTGAGGCCTTCACCCAGCTGCTAAATTTAGACCCAGATGAATTGGCACATAGATGGGCTCTTTACTAAATAAGTGGCTTCTGGGGGCCAATTAGTTCTAGTTGATGTTTCATGTTTATGTGTTTTTAACTGTAAACTGATAAAACAAAAATGTTTTCTTATTGTAATCGAACTGAATAGAATGCTGAACTAAAAAAAGAAAACCAGATGTCTTTTTTGTCTGTTTATTGCCTAAGTTGTATAAATCTGTTCTAACACCTCCCATGTTCTTGCCTTATATGTGGTATAAAGACAAGGTTTGCGTTTTAAGAATCGGCTCTGTTCTCTTTCATAGACTCTGCTGCAGAAAGCTCCTGAAAAAGCCTGTTTCTCTATAAAGGAAGAGATTTCTGGTTTGAGACAAACTCTACAGCGAGCTGAGGTAATTACGTTCACATATTTCCCTGCATTTAGCTCTTCACTTGCATTACTAGTCCTGCAGCAAGATGGTTCCAACTGATGATCATCATTAAATTGGGTATTTAGTCTTTTCCCACTCTTCTATGAAGTCTTTATTTGATCCTTCTGTTTCTTTCAGTCTCAACGAGGTCAAATCTCAGAGGCGCTGAGTGTGGGCATGTCCTCTGGGCAGATGCATCAGATTCTCCTCAGTGTTTACCAGCAACTCAGGGACAGTCCTCTCCTCATAGTCTAACACCTACTCAGCTGCCCTCGTTCTTGCTCAGCGTTCAGCATCCTGATGATGAAGCAGCATTCATGGTTCCTAATGATCCTCCCTGTAATTACCCGTTAAATGCCTCTTGATCTCCGACAACAGAGGATCCGGGGCATGCCTTCAACCTTCCACCTATTAGCTGTGCTTTGGGACAGCATTCATGCATTTTGAATCTTTGATGTATTCATTTTTCTAACCACATTCTTCAATATATTTGATTGGATTTTAGGTGTAGGAAGTTGGAAAGCAAAAGATCTACAGGTTCATAAGTTGTTTTTTTTTTTTTCTTTAAATTCAGCTGCTACCCTCTTCCTTAGAGGTATGATTCTTCATTTTTTTACACCTTGAAACCAAAAGTTTTGTCCATCTTTTTGCAAAAAAGCTCAAGCTGAACAGATTGCATGAAAGAGCATCTTTCCAAATGTTCTTAAACCTATAAAAGTCTGAACTGTGGACCTTTCTAACCGCTTTAATCCTTCCATCATTGCTCTGATTGGACGTCTGGGGTTGTTTTCTTTCCAGATTGTTCTGTTTTATTTCCATATTTGATCAGCTCTGACTGTTTTTTCACACTGTGATGATGTTTAGCTTTTTGCCACACATGGTGAACATTTGGAACAGACACTCTTCCAGAAGCTGGCTGTGTCCAACATGTAGTCAGAACTTCTTTTGACCTCCTTACACAATGGATTTCTTCTAGACCCCTTTAGAGAAAGATCAGGCTGCTAGAGTGCAGGATTCATAGCTGTGGATCTCAGTAGCTCATCCAGAGGAAGAGCCTATTGGCTGCTCCCTTCCAGTTTATGTTAGCGGTAATCTTGGTATGTTTTCACTTGTCCCATACTCTGTCTATTTCTAGATGCTCTTTTAGTTTGCTGACCTAACTCTGCTTTGAATCTTTTTTTTTTTGATGTTCTATATTGGAACTCTCATGCCTTCACAGATCAGCTAGATTTATGCTAAGAGGAAACTAAAAGCATGCTCTGTTTAACCATTAATTAGAATCTAAAGACAGTTATTGGTGTTTTGTTGGACAAACTAAAGTTTTTTCTGGTGTTATGAAGGTAAATTAGGAAAAAAATATGTCCACACCAGTTGTAAGTCCTCATGGTTTTTGGCCTGTCTTTTACACCCTAAATGTACTTTTTTGTTACTATTTAAAAGTTTGTTGGATTTTGTGTTAAAGTCTTTTTTGATTGTAAAAACTGAAGGAAAAGAAGAAAATAAAATATATTGAAAAGAACTTTTCTACATGTACTTGATTGATTTTCAGTCCCTTAGAGCTGGAAGACATGGATTGATAAGTTCCCTGCCTCTGGCGATAGAACAGCTGTGCAGACACCTGAAATTGGCGCACAATTTATGTATTCTGATCGAAGAAAAGTTTCGTACTGAAACCTGACTAATCTAAAAAATGGGTTGTAAAGGACTACAGAGAGCATAGGGAGTATTTATTCAGCAAACTGTTCATCCACAGTCTACATAAAATCCATATGGAAGCTTGTGCCGGAGCTGTGATTGGCTGCAAAGTTGAAACCCCGGATCGGTTTCCAGGAAGAAGATCCTTCACAGAACTAGGAAAACACGAGCAGAACTTTGGGTAGGATGAAAAGCAATTGAACTGAAAGACGTGTGGGAGGAGCCAAAAGAGAATGTACATGTGATAAAATATAAAGGGGAAGATTTGAATATTTACTTGTTTATACAGTCAAGAAAAAAAGGTCATAACAGTGATAATTACAGTTAGTGAGATTTAGGGTTAGCTGATGCTGTTTACTGAAGTGGACGTTGTATGGATGTTTCAGAACAACGGCAGGACACTTGTACATGATCGCACAAAGGAATGTTCATTGTATAATTTCAGGATTTTCAGAATCTAATATAGAGACAGTTTGGGGAAGAAGAAGACGATTCCTTCTTTCACTGAAGCTATTCATGTTTACAGGCTTTCCACTAGATGAAAGGAGAGGCAGAGAAATCAATAAACATTATTTGTTACAACAAAACACCAGGATAGAGGTAAAAAAAAAAAAATCCATGCAGGGGTCTCTGCACCATGTTTAGCCTTCACCTGAACTATTACTTCTACAAAAGTTTCACAACAAGCAAGTTTCAGTTGTTGTCAGGTCTTTGCCTAATCCTGTCTGAATATTTGACCAGTCTTCCTGTGATAGAGCTTCACATCAACGGACACCAGCTAGGAATAAAACTGATTTAAATTTATGAACTTTATGCACAACAAACGTTTACAGTCTCTTACATCCACAGTTCAAAAAGCAAAATGATAGACAAGTCAAGGTGAGGAGTTTAAACTTGAAACCTTTTATGTTAGGCATGGTGGTGGTGGTGTCATACTTTGGTTCTGCCTACTGATATGCATTAGGTTTGCAAAAAGAAAGAGTTGTGATGGAATGAAATTCTTTAACTTCCCCATTAAATTAAGCTGGAAGGTTTAAGTTAAACAGTTGGGCCCTGGGATGATTTCAAAATATAAAATCTAGCTCATAACCGGTTAGGAATAAGACACAACACTCGACCTCTTAAAATGTATAAACTCAGTTTAAGGTCTGGGTCTTTGTGAGGAAACTAATTTCTAAAAGGGATGGTCGTCTGTTCTGCAAAAGCTCAGTCTGAAGCTTCATTTCCCAAATGTAAATTGAAATGATAAAACTTTTTTTTCATTGATTCTGGTTTTGATAAACATTAAAGTTAGTTGTTATAATTAAAGGACATCAATATGCATAATTTAAACTAAATATTTGACATATAAATGTATAGTGATGGTAACTTCTATACACAACTGGATGTCAGTAGCTGCAATTATTAATATTGAAGACAAAAATAATTTAGTCTGTTTGCATCAAAATACGCCCACTTGTGACTGAATGTATTTATTTCCATAGTTTCAGAGATGACCTGGTGCTTATGCATCACATCTACCAGAAAATGATCGGAAAGTATAACACCAAACAAAGTTGATCTATTCTATGTTTGAGGCTACAAATGTGAATACTTTTGTTGGTTGAATATACTGCATGGTCAGTTCTCCCTTTTTCTTCACCTTCTATTTGCATATGTGAGTCTCTATTTCAGCTAAATTAAAGGACAACATGATGTAACAATAGGTGTTAACGATTTTACTTATTAGAGGTGACATGAAGAGTAGGGTGTCATATCTCAGCTCCACATAACTTAATACTCCCATAGAGCAGAGCTGCTAAGACTCAGTCCATCTCCCTTGAGTGTGCCCCCCTGGTCTCCACGTAAGTATTTGCCATTTTTGCCCCTGATAGCGAGGCGTCCACGCTCCAGAAGCTCCAGAGTGAAGTCCTCTGGAGCCTCACCATCTGAGCACACCAGCCCACCACTGTTCACATACCAGTACCGCCCATCCACACCTGTAACATCACAAAAGACAAGCCGTTAAGTAGAGAAGCAGCAAGTAGGAGACCAGAAAAGCAGTTGCATTTGTGACCTTTAATATGATAAGCTCCATTGCTATACTGCAGGGTGAAGATGTCATAGACAGATCTCCCAGCATCCAGCGTGTTGGAGTTCTTGTGGTGGCAGATGAATCCATTAGCTCCTCTCAGGATCAGCATTGGCCGGTTGATCAGTTTCAAAGTGAGCTGCTCATCCTCACCTGACAAACATTAAAAAAACACATTTGAGGAAATAAGCAGAGGAAAGGGTTTAGGGAGATGAGTTCCAGGTTTAAAGAGGCAAAAGGTCACCTATAGCGTCACTGACTGCAAGCAACTGGCCGTTCTTCTTGGTGCAGATATATTTGCCATTGCTTGCTTTTATTGCCACCTTGTGGCTGAGCCATTCCACTGAAAACATTGTATCTGCAGATCTATGGATAAAACATAATGGATGCTTGATTTTTCATAAAATATGAGTAATTTGAATTTAAAAAAAACTTGCTGCTATAATGCATGAAAGCATCTAGCTATTACTGGTCATTCTTACCAGAAGACAAGAACTTTATTCTTGAAGTGGTTCTTTTCAGACATCTATGCATTTTCATTTCTAATAATAGCAATTGATTGCTCATCAGGGCAACAGTTTACTATCTCTTGACTTCTAGTAATGGTGCAAAATAAAACTGTCACATGCAAATGTTTGCTGTACCAACTTTCCCTTTGTACACCTGATACGGCAGATCCACTCACATTTCTGTGGCAGTGCTCTGGATGCCTCCATGCGCCACCACAGCCCAGTAATACCCTTGGCTGGTGCGGAAAGTGCACATCTTGCTTTCCCTGTCGATCTCCATCTGAAATGTCTCCATGTCAGTTTCATCCTCTTGATTGGCGGCGAGGCTTACACCTTGGAGGGTTACATTAAGGAAAGAAACTACTTGTTAGGTTGGCTTGTATTGCCAGCAGTAGCCAGCCTACTCACCTGGTCCAATTAGCAAATATCACAGGTAATCTGATATTTAACTAGAAAACTCTAGTAAGACATGTCTTTTTCAGATTTAAATACTGACTTCCAAAGTAATGAAAAATAAATGCAGTTTGCAGAACTAGCTAATGAGAGTTTTTTTTTTTTCCATTGGAACATTTAAACTGATTTCAGATAATAAAGTAAATAATCTTGGTGTTGTTTTTGATCAGGACCTGTCATTTAAATCCCAGAGGTTTCTAGAACTTCCCTATTTTATCTGAGGAATATTGCAAAAATTAGAAATCTCCTGTCCAGGGGTGATGCTGAGAAACTAGTCCATGCATTTGTTACTTCAAGGCTGGACTATTGTAATTCTTTACTATCAGGGAGTCCACAAACTGTAGTTAAAAGCCTTCAGCTGATCCAAAATGCTGCAGCCAGAGTTCTGATGAAAATGAAAAAGAGAGATCATATCTCTCATATCCTGGCTTCTCTTCATTGGCTTCCTGTTAAATCCAGAATAGAATTTAAAATCCTCCTTCTCACATATAAAGCCTTAAATGGCCAAGCTCCATCTGATATCAGAGATCTGATTGTTCCTTATGTTCCTAACAGAGCACTTCGCTCTCAATCTGCAGGTTTACTAGTGGTTCCTAGAATTTCTAAAAGTAGAATGGGAGGCAGATCTTTTAGTTATCAGGCTCCTCTCCTGTGCAACCAACTACCAGTTTTAGTCCGTGAGGCAGACACCCTGTCTACTTTTAAGGCTAGGCTTAAAACTTTCCTTTTTGATAAAGCTTCTAGTTAGAGTGGCTCAGGTTATCCTGAGCTATCTCTATAGTTATGCTGCTATAGGCTTAGACTGCTGGAGGACATAGGGACCCCCTTTTTTATCATTCTGCTTCATTCTATCTCTATTCTCCCACTCTGCAGAATCTATTAGTTCAATCTCTAACGTTCTGCTCTCTCTGCTTTTTCTCATAGTAGCTTCATCTGGTCTGTTCCTGTTTGGCTGTGACTCCATCCTGGAGAGAAATATCAGCTGTGCTGCTGCCATCAACACCTTTGTTTCTAGGTGTTGGAGCTTGGCCTGTTTTCCAGTGTGGTCCTGTTTCTCTGACTGTGACTAACTGGATGTGCTCTCTTCATCCTCTGGCATGGGAGCTGGCTCGGAGCTCGTCTGCCTGGCTGTGTGTTTCCTGGACGGGGCCGCCTTTTACCGCTCACACTGAGCCTGATTCTGCTGGAGGTTTCTTCCTGTTAAAAGGGAGTTTTTCCTCTCCACTGTCACTACAAGCATATTTAGTGTGAGGAATTGCATCTGATTCAATGAATTGATGCAATCAACTAGTTTTCCTTAGATAGAAAACTGAATTAATCTGACTGTATGATCTGGTTTAACTGTAAAGTGCTTTGTGTGTTGTGAATTAGCGCTATAGAAATAAACTGAATTGAATTGAATTACTTATACTTTGGTAATATTCTTATGAAGTATCCCTACCTGAGTAAATTTCCTGGCTGCTTTATATTGCGAGTATGTTGAGCTGTTCAGAGATCACACAAAAATACAGTTTACAATGGATATTGTGGAAATATTTTACCGTTTTCTAACATATAAACAATTCTCACTGCAGGGGAGGATGTCATACATTGTATGTGAAAACATGGATTGGAAAAGCTTGGATTTTTATTATAAAAGTTGGTTTTGAAAAAAAGTTTATAAAGAGCTTATTCAATATAATATATTTTAGTTATTCCTGTTGTTCAACTACAAAGGTATTGCCTTTACAAATAAAAGCTAGCATTTATGTAGTTTCTTCTTTTACAATTTTGATCTAAATGTTCAAGCTAAAATATCTCTGCATTCATTTGTATTTTGTAATAATATCATTCATTTTGAACTTTTAACAGAGTCTTTATAAAAGCAGAATTTTGTATAATTTCTGTATAATCACATAATTTCTAAACATTATGCAAGGCGACATGATCCAACAATTAATCAGTACTACTTGGGGGGCATTTTTACCAAATACTTTCAACCTTTTACTTTTATGTGAGTAAAAAAGTAGTGCTACTTTACTGTTACTTGGTTAAAATCTTTGGGTCCTTTAGCTGCTTAAAGAAACTGGTGAAGCTCATTTATATTAGATTGTTTTCAGGCACCTACTTAGCTCTTCATCATTGTCAATATATTTTTAACGGGTGAAGGTCAGAGTTATTCTGGAAGCTCCTGGTTAGTCATCTTTAACCATTTCAAACCAATATGATCCAAACTGCTTCCCTTTAATGAAAGAAACTGGATTAGAAACCTTAGGAAAAACTGGGCAATTCCAGAACACAATAAACTAAAAGGAAACCATCTAGAATGAAGTCCCCGAGACCAAACGAATGCACAAGTTTTCACAAAAATGTACATCTACACCCATTGGTAAGATAAAATCCAGTTTTATGAGATTATGAACAGGTGAAGAATAAGCTTTTCAGCCACACTGACATGTGGTAGTCTTAGAGAAATCAAAGTAAGGCCTTTAAACTGAAGAACACTTGATTGTGGTGGAACCATGTTATGGTGAAAGATCTTGAATCTTACTCTAAAAGAGTGACAGATAGCAATCCCATTGTTTATATGAATGTTTTTTTTATTTTACGAAACCAAAGCGCCATGTCAAAGATAATTATTTCCTCCAAAGAAAATACCTTTTTCTTAACTACATTAAAACGACATTAGTTAGCTTGCAGTCACACCTTTTACTTTATTGTAGTTATTTTCAGCTTATAACCTTGATGACGGAGCATACCAATCAGTTCAACTTGGAGAGACTCAAAGATTTTCTTGATATGATTGAGGTAAGTTCTTTGGGGCTTGGACCCCGGCAGAATACTTGGTGCTGCAAATTGACATGAACTCTGATGAATACTTTAGGAAAAGGATTAAAGTAGCCTTTCCTCCATGGTGTAGGCCAGAGGATGGATGACACTGAGAATAGCCTGAAAGTGAGGGAAGAGATGGGTGGAGGTGGGTACATGTTCATCTGGTGAGCAGAAGATCCTGGATGAGTATTAACTTCAGAGGGAGTGCTGTCCGTATGTCCACTGGTTGGAACTTTGAGCATAGTACATTGCAGGTGATCAAATAGAAGCTGATTAGAGTCTTCCAGGTTAAATTTGCTCTCCAGCTTCATTTATTTGTTAGACTTTTTCTTTCAATCAAACATGATTCCTTCTATCTCTGGGGTGGTCAAACTTTCTGCTGAGAACAGATGTTATGGAAATGCAATGACTATAGCTTTAGGTGAAGCTTAAGTGGATATCTGCTTTGCACGGTTCAGAAGTCAAGGGCATCAGTTTCCCAAGAACAATCAGTACATGATATAAAGAAAACGTATGAGTTCCCATGCATGTTTTTGGAGCACCTATTAAGTGATAGCAAGATATTATTTATTATTCTAAAATGAGAAAACAAAACATAATGGCAAGTTTAGTGATAGAGTGCAATAGAGATCACAGAGGGAGCAGACTGAGTGATTTACACCTTAGGAAAAGTCTCACTAAAGCAAGTCTCTTGGAGAGCAATTATTTTTCATTTTGCTTGCGTAGGCATTGGACATAAACACAGATGTTTCTGGTGAAATATCTGTAACACCCTTCCACTGGTGTGACTTCCTGGTGCAGGAATAAACAGGTAGGTTTATGATCAATCTGTTCTTCTTCAATTCATTTCAGTTCATTTCTATAGCGCCAATTCTAAACATGTCGTCTCGGCTACAACAGCGGCTATTACATTTGTGGAAAATTTATTACATTTGCAGAATTATTACTTTAAAAGCTGCATATTTTTTTATCACGTTTCTGGTTTATTTCATTTGAGGGCAGTATTTCATTTGTGGGAGTTACAGGGATATTTTTTTTTGCTACATCTAGAATAAGGACACGTTTCTTTGTCGTAGTAGATAATGTGTTGCTATTTGGAATGTTGGAATAATTATCTATTTGCCTTGCAATTATCTTCAAATTTAGTTTTACGTTAGAATTTTCTCCCTCCCCAAATATATGATTGCTCACTCAGTCAAAAGAAAAACAACCTTCCAATTCCCGGAGAACTGTCTGCTGCCCAAGAGGTTACACAAAAGATTCGACTCTTTTGAAGCAGTCCTTTCCTTAAAGAAAGGAAAAAAGAGTTGCAGAATACTTTGTGAATATGACATTTTAAAGCAGATGCTCTGCCTTGAGTAAAATGGTCATGACAGTGTTAATCAAATTTTTTAAAATATTCTTCTGGCCATTTGAAAAGAGTCTGCAAAGATAAACTGAGAAGAAGGTGTGATATGTGACAAGGATGTCATGCTTACTGAGCTGCTGGGACAGTTTAATCAGATCCTATTCACACCTAATAAATGAGGTATCATTAGGTCTTACAGCTGGTTAAGTTATCATTGATCTTAAGTGCATCTGAAGCTCAAATTTAAGCCCTTCCACTCCATAGCTACGCCTGGGGGGCTTAGGACTCCCCTTCTCTCTCATCTCAACTCAATGTCATGCTTAGTCTACCTATTCTATGTGTCTATTTCACACTAATTCAACCCAGAAATGATCTTCAGACAGCGCTCAGCTGGGACCTTATAGTAGCTGACTGACCGATGAGACAAGAGGAGACAGTGAAAGGAGAGGTGGAGGAGAAAGGAAAAAGAAACTCAGAAAGAGGCGAAAGGATGTGCCCTAATCCGAGTTGGCATAATTATATAGCATTGTTGATGACCATCTTAGAAACACTTGATGAACAAGAAACGGCATAAAAAAAAAGGACATGACACTTAACAGAACATATCAATACAATTACAGCTGCCTCTGAAAAACACAGAGATATTAACAATAGTATCTTATATCAGATCAAAGCCAAGATTTAGCTCCCCTTCCTTTGGTTATCCTACATACCAGTCTGG